CTGAAGTCATGATACACATATATTTCAATCAAAAACGATGGCACAACCTTGTAGATAAAACAGCTTCTTTTCCAACAGTTTTCATAGCTTGTATAAAAATCTCACTAATAAAAGACTAAAAATCACAACTAATGGACTGTATAAAACATGATTGCCAGCATTGCACTTGTTGCCTTTACAGAAGCAGTAGTTAACGGCTCGCTGGTAGGTGGTGATAAATTTCTTACAACCAATGTAGTCTGTGACTGGCTCCAACACTAAAATGAAAGACCGAGACCTTTAAACATACTGTTTAATAATCACACTTTACAAGACTGTGTTTCTACAAAAGATATAAATCTGATAATTAAATTCATCAACATGCACAAATGGAAGGAACTTAAGTGATAATGTATTTTTCAGATTAAAAATTTCTTGGATGTTCCTCCCAAAAATATTGTACAATACTTCTTAAATATTTTTATTCACATTCTATTCTGTATCTGAATTAAATTTTTCAATATTTGTTAATCTTAGGGGAATCTCTCTTATACTGTAAAATCACATATTTTCATGGGATCAAGTTTTTGTGGTTTATTGAAAAACTTGTTTTGTGGACGATGAATTGTTGAGTATGTTAACATTTTACATTTCATGGAGGACATGACTTTTGGGTAATTTTTTATCTTGAAAAGCAACAAAAATTACTCCCCCTGCCCCCCCCCCCATTAATTTGTGATCTCACAGTACAACAAGACCATTCTGATAAAAGAAAAAAAGTGATAATAACCTGTTCCCAGGCTTTGTAGCACTCTATAATACTCAATCTGGGAGTAACATTTTCTTCTGGCAACCTGATATTCTACAAAATAAAATGAAGAAAGATTACAGAAAAGACAAATATTAATGTAATCAAAATAACACTTATCCTAATATTTGATTTTATTGGCTCATTCAAGCAGTCGATGACACATCTGGTTATTTTAATGCAAGATAAATGTTGAGCGACTATTCTTTTTACATTTGTTTGATTTCAATTATTATTATTTGCATATTTTGTGTTTTGAAATTCCCTTTATTTAAAAGTAGAGGGTTAGTGATCAGTTGTAACAGGCTAGGGGCTGAGATTTATGAACAAATTCTCCGTGGACCATCCAATAAATTTTTACTTTAAAGCGGCATTTTTGTCAACTGAAGCAGTCAATTTGGTCTGTAGCCGGCTCTTAGGGAAAACCCTGATAATTATACAGTGTATACAGTCAAATGTTCAAAGTTATCTCAAAACAAGTTAAAACTAGATATCATTGAGATGGTGACCATCTCAAAGGGCCCCGCTTTCAACAATGAACATGAAAATGTAAGGTTAAAGATGAAGAGGAACATTTGTGTAATACAGTGAAAGTAATTTATTACGACTTCACAGATACTGCAATTTTACAGATATATATATATATATCAAAGTTATCCTGTATCCTCAGTTATATAAATTTACTTTAAGGAGAAAAATTATGCACCAAACAAAGATTTTAAACATAGAGGCTAATTCTGACCATGACCTAGAAAGTTTGACCAATTAAAATCACTGCACATCCATTGACCAGTGGCACTCTGTGAGTGAAATATGAGCCAGATTGGGCCAAGGAGAGAGAAGATATGCTTCAAACAAGGATTTTTCATATAATTCTGCTATGACCTTTGACCTAGAAACATGGTTCAAGGTCACTGCACACCGATTACCCAAAGGCACTCTGTAGGTGAAGTATGAGCAAGATTGGGCCAAGGAGAGAAAAGATATGATCCAGAGAAGGATTTTTCACACAACTCTGCTATGACCTTGACCTTTGACCTAGAAACATGGTTCAAGGTCACTGCACATCGGTTACCAATGGGCACTAAGTGGGTGAAGTACGAGCCAGATTGGACCAAGGGGAGAGAAGATATACTCTGGACAAGGATTTTTCACACAATTCTGCTATGACCTTGACCTTTGACCTAGAAACATGGCTCAAGGTCACTGCACACCGATTACCCAAGGGCACTCTTTGGGTGAAGTATGAGCCAGTTTGGGTCAAGAGGAGAGAAGATATGCTCCAGACAATGATTTTTCATATAGTTTTGCTATGACCTTGACCTTTGAGCTAGAAACATGGTTCAAGGTCACTGCACACTGCTTACCCAAAGGCACTCTGTGGGTGAAGTATGAGCCAGATTTGGCCAAGCAGGGAGAGAATATATGCTCCGGACAAGAGATCTCGGACGGACTGACGGACGGACAGCTGGACGGACGGACAGACTGATCACTATAGGGCACCCGCCGAGCGGGGCCCTAATAATATCTTGGATTCATTGTCACATGTAGTTATTCAATTGTAAATCAGTGCTTAAATTTATATATTGAATACAAAAAAAAAACCCTGAGGTTTTCAATTTTCAATATGAAAGGGGGACATAACTCATAATATCTTGACAATTACTTAATATTTGTTCTACATCACTTTTAGTTACCAAAATTAAAGATCATATCATTCACAAGTGACCCTCTTGAAGACTGAGTCTTGTTGCCAATTTTTTACTAAAGAAGTAAAAGGACTAATTCAATTTTTAAAAATTCAGATAAAGCTCTCCTCAATGTAATAACTTGAACAAAGATTTTTTTCTGGAATATCACTAAACCTACCATCGTCCCACTCCTTGGAGCAGACATGACACCCCGTCTCTGTTCCTACCCCCGAGTCCTCGGGTTTGAATGGTTCCACATTACAGTAGCTACAGGAGTAGCAGGTCAGACCGTTGGTTTCTTTGTCGTAGTCATTCCCACTGCCTGGACCCTGTCCCCCAGGGATCACAATCTGCTCATCCCAGTTATTCTGGAACTCATTGAAAGAGCCATCACTCCAACCTATGAGGAAAGTTCAGAAAAAAGGTATAATTCTTCAAACAATCTTTCTCTAATTTGACACTAGAATTTATCATTTAAGAGAAATTTTATGCAGTTTTTAATGGCATTGTTTCCCTTAAGATTGGCCTTAACCATTTTCTTTTTCCTGCAATATACTGTAGCAGCAAAAATTTATGTAGGGGATAAAATTTTATTAATTATTCAAGACATTTAAAAGGTTTTGTTCACATTTAATATCTTTTTCTTAAGTAACCTTATTCAATAAATAGATAAGCAATTTTGAATGGGACTAAATTTTGTTGATAATTGTGATCTATGAAATAAATCAATACTGTTAATCACTTTATATTCGCGAGAACTTTATTTTCGCGTAATTACGCGAGATGGAATGCTAGCGAAAATTTCATTCTCGCATATTACAGAATTCCTTAAGATTATATAGAGCAATGACCATAATTCGTGAAAACTTTGTCTCGCTAATAAAGAGTCAATGAATATCTCGCCAAAATAAGGTGTCGCGAAAATTAAGTGATCTACAGTAAATAAAAGATAATCCCCCTGTCTTACAGTAATAACAGTTGTAATAAATAAAAAATAAAATTAGAATAAAAATCTCCAATCATATTCAATATTAGCTGCAATAATATAGACCTCTAGACCTCTGTTGTTGTTTGTTTGTTTTTCTGTTTCTTTTTGAATGGGAGAGGCTGAGGTTTAAGATAAACAAAATCTGAGAGGGCTAGTACAATGTACATTATTGCAGATAGTTTGAACATACCACCAGGATTACTGCCAT